AATATATATATTATCATTATCATCTAAAACTATCACGTACGTGCTAAGAAAGCACTTGTTGATTCATGAATGTCCCTTCATAGAGCGCAATTATGAAGCAAGATTAGTGTAATTGAACCTCTCAAATCATTGGAATAAGGATTTATTTAATTGAACTGTAACCCATCTAAGGAACTAATTAGGTGCTTGTCAAATGGCTGACAGTTTGAGGTTGGATAGGTGAAACAATTAAGGGAGTTCACTAATGGTGGAGTGAATTAAGTATTTTCAGTTTAATGATTGAGATCTTACAAAAAAGTGTTTAATATTGGCTGGGATCAGTGTTTAGTGTTTATCATCAGTAAGGTGGTGTTTGGTAATTCTTTGTAAAAATTTGCTTTTCTGCTTTGCCTTTTCAATTCTCTAAAACCTATAATAATAATAATAATAATAATAATAATAGTTTGAAACTTAATAAGTATAATTAATAAAAATTATTAAAGTTAATAAAAATATTAAAATTTAACAAGTTTTTATCTAGTAACTATTAAAAGTTAAAAAATTAATAAAGATGAGTAGTTCATAAATTAAAAAAACTAAAATACAATTTAATTCTATTTGAATATAATTAATATTAATAAGATAATTAAAATTAATAATAAAAAGTTAGGATAATTTAAAATTAACAATAAAAAGTAAACAATTATGAAAAAATAATAAAAGTAAACCATTGCATTCCATATAAAAATTAATTATGTCATAAGACTCCTACTTAGAAATGACCATTTATAACTTAGCCCAACCTTGGGCTCAAGCAAATAATCCAGGTAGTATGGTTGTAAAATTAATAAAAATTAGTATTGATAGGATAATTGAAATTAATAATAAAAAGTAACAAATTGTTTATAATTTAGCCTAACCTAAGTAGATCTATAAATTTCCATTCTCAAGCAACTTTTTTTTTCTTTTTTGAGTTAGGTCTAGCTCAAAGATGCACCAAGCCCACACATAATGTGGGTAATAGGGTTGTAAATGGATTGGATTCAAATCAAATCCAGCTACATCCACATCAACATCCGATTATAAAATTTCTAGATTTACATCCACATCTAATTATTATTATGTTGCATTTTGAATTTTAAAGTATAAATGCATATATTAATATCTATGTGTATACAATAATTACACTACACATACAAAATAATAATTTTTTATTAGACGTGTATTTTAGTATAATTGGATGGGGTTAAATCCAATGATGGCCCTAGCGAATAGGGCCCAAGCTAAACAACTTGTAATAAGCACAACGTGGAAGTTATATGCACATATGGTAAATATTATTATATAATATTTAGATAACAAATTTTATATTAATATATGTAGAAATGTAAAAAATATTTTTTTAATTTGTAAAAAATCATAGTTTTATAATTAACACGGGCAAACCTCTAGGCATAGACACATATTATTACACTTAAGGTGTGGGCTGGGCTAGGCCAAGCAACCTTAAAAACTACTAATGCACTATCAAAATTTAGCCCGGGATTTTTAAAATTTTGGTTCATTGGGATACACAATAGGGGTAGCCCATCCTTCGTACCTACTTTAACTTCAATATTATCTAAAAATAGTTAAAAAAACCCCAAAACAATGCATGCATGGGTTGCACTTGGTTTGGCTCAGTCAAATTACGAATGTTACCGTGCATGCAACTTGGGTGGGTTGGGTCATGATGAGGATCAATCCAAGCCTAATCCAGTCTTAATCCTTAAGTTTAGGCTTAGATTAATTTAATTATGACTATAGCCTAATTTTATATTTTTACTGATATTTAAATATTTAAGTGATATTTACAAACAATTGAAAATTTTAATTATTAATAAAGTAAAATAAATAAAATAGATCACTAACAAATAATATGAAAAAAATAATTATTTTATTAAGTAATTATCAATAATTTATTTTTTTGTTAAAAATATTAATATAATTCATTCAAATTACTAAATTAGTAAAACATTTTTATAACAAATTATTAAAATAAAAATTTAATTATTTTAAACATTTTGGTTATTTCACTTTTCTTGATAAATTCCGTGCATCACACAGGTCCCCGCTAATAAAAAAACAAAAAGTTTTATGACTCTAAAGTCAGTTTAGTGCTACTAAATGCCCATACTTCGGCTTAAAATTTTGAGGAATTTAAGTAAACAATGCAACTCTTGGTTTTCTACACCCTACCAATAAGCAGGAACTCTGTGTTGTTTCATGGTAATAGGGGCCGTTCGGTAATGGTTGAGGTGGTGGCTGAACTAAATTATTTATTGTTTTGTTTTTTTAGTGAATAAAAATATTCCAAGATATTATATTCAACCCAACTTCAGCTTCAGCTAGTAAGGAGCTAATCATCTGTAAAAGCTTATTTATCATAAAGCAAACTAATAAGTCATTTAATTTAGCTATTTCAGTGTTACCAAACCATCCCTAACTAATTTCACCATTGTTAAAGTTACTAATATGATCAATGCGATGATTCTACGTCAGAGGAAACTTGAGTCTAAACAAGATATGCCTTTATGGATTTTGCTGAATTCACTTCTGCTCATACATCCATTCAGGCCTTTGACTGGTTAGTCATAATGACCACAATAATAAGATATTTTACATCAAAGTGCTTTACATTAGGTGCCTGTTTGGGAGGGCTTATTTCATGAAATGGCTAACTTCTGGCTTTGTAAGATGGGCCCCACACAAAAAGACTAAAAGTTATGTTGATGATTGGTGAAAAACCTAAAAAGCCCAAGTATACTTTAATCAACTATGAGACTTGTGAAGCTAATTTGAATAGTTTCTTCAAAATGATTTAAAATCAATACAGTTTAATCAAAGCTTAAGCCTTCCCAAAGGGGAAAATTCAACTGCATACAAGAAAAGGGTCCTCACTCAAGGTTAGAATGGGAGCTACCCCGTTTCTGGAGCTCCATGGAGATAATAAATAAAAGGTATATTAATAAAAATTAATAAATAAATAACATTTTCACTAAGGCAGCACCCCAATGGCAAATATGGGAGATATTCCCGGTACACGGTTGGAATGTACTGTGGGGCACGGGGTAAAGCTCCATCTATTCGTCTTTTTGGTCAAAAGAATATTGAGGGCAATTACATTTTTAATCCAACCTGTGGTAATATATCATGCCGAAGTGCATTTTTCAACTGCCTTGGCTGTTGGCCCTTCTGGTTTTGGTTTTTTTGGCAGCATAGATTTTCCCTACCACATAAGATTAGGGGTGCAAGTAGGGCAGCAGGTTGGGCTAGTTTTTAGTTCAAAAAAGACCAACCCTACGTATTGGGTTTAAAACCCGGGCTTGGCCCAAGATTAAGGTCAAACCCAAACTATGCAACCCAAGCCTGGCCAGCTCACCCCTACACTAAAATTTGATACACTCGGGTTGGGCTCAGGCCCAGGTCAAGCTTGGGTTGGACAATCAACTTGATGATGTGTGACTTGAATGATTCTTGCTAGAAAAAAGTTTAGACGTCGGACTAGTGATATGGTCGGGTTGAGCTGCAAGACAAGAGAACCATAGTGTTTTGGGGTGCTTTACCTGGTGTAGGCACTCCAGTGTTTAAGTTAACGATGGAGGTTTTGAGAGAGCTAATTGTTTGAAAGTAAAGGGATGCGAGAGCTAAATCGTGCATATCTTGTAAGGTTGGAGGCGAAGCCTTTATATAGGCAAGCTACCGTGGGCCTCACGATGCGTGTCCAAGATCACCGGCCCATCTATCTCGGAGTTGGTTTTGCATTCGAAGATGGACCCCGAGTAAGTTGATAAGGCTTATTTAGGTCCGTCCAATTGAGCAACGAGAAGATAAGTTCCATTGACATACACCATGATTCTGAGGAGATCGGAAATAGCTCACTTGCTTCTAGGAGGCTATGTGGCACCTCGGTAGGTCAGTGGATGTAGTGAGCTGTTAGGGCCTCAATCTAGCTGGGTGACCCGAGGTGCCCGAAGTGACTATGACTGCTGAGGTGTCCATGATTGCTGAAGTGTTGCCATATCATTTTGTCGCTCCACGTGTCATCACATCATTGGATGGGCCAAATTATCTCTCATCACAATCCATACTAAAAATCAATATACATGTATATATGCATATATGTATATATGTATACATGTGAATATGTATCTATAAATACATATACATTTATATAATCGGGTTGAGCTCTGGCATGGGTCAAGCTCGGGTTGGACAATGAACCAATACATATATGCATACATACATGCAAATTTATATATATATATATATATATATATATATATATATATATATAATCAGGTTGGGCTTGAGTTGGGATAAAGTCAAACTGGCTTTTAGATTGTTAGACCCGAATCTAACCCAAACTCTTAGGCCTATGTCCAACTCGAGCACCGAAAATCCAAATCTACTCTGTATAAAATTACGGACTAGATATAAGATTAGTCCAGGCTCAGGTTGGAACCACACAAGTTGCATTCTTACATAAGATATTTATTATCACTTATAAGTAAGTTTTTCCTTTTTTATTTATTTTTCTTCTTTTTACCCAACCTCACTCATCAAAGTTGTTTCGTGAAACTTTCATTTATGGAAAATCAAATTTATTTAATTATTTCTATACTTTTTCACATATGGTCAGTTGATATCAGGAAAATATTGTTTTTTATCTAAAACGATCCAAACACCCCTTAAGAGAAATTCATTAAGTTCTACTTCTACCATTACGTCTGTAGGGCGATGAACTCGAGAGTGGCATGAACTCGTTCACCGGGTGGAAAGGCGAGTTGCTGAATAGCCTGAATTCTTTACGCAATCCTTGAAACTTCGCCTAACGGCTAACGCTGTGCCATTGAAAATAGAGAAAGAAACAGAAAGTTGACGGAAAGTTTTCAAGGAATCTCACCAAATTTGTTAAGAACCTTCCCCTCAGCTCTCTCTCTCTCTCTGAAAGTAGCCTGTATAAAAGAGTTGCACGAGTCGTTGTTTACTATTTAGCGAAAGAAAAGTCGTTTAATAGGATGGCCTGGTAAGTATCTTCAGTCATTTTAATTCGGGGAAGTCCAAAACCTGTTCCGACCACACTGAGATAAAGAATCTGTGGCCTTTAAAGATGACATCTCGCGTTTAATATTAAGAATCTTCGACTCTTATTCCGATTCCAAGAAGCAAAAGGAACGAAAAGAACCAAACAAACAAGAAAGAAGGAAGAAAAAACTTCACATTTCCAACCTCCTCCCAGTGTCTCTGTTCGCAACAGAGCAGACCCATCGGAAGGTGCAGATGTTTAATTGTTTTAACATCTAAGTCTCTTCTGATTGTTTTAAGTTCTAACCCGTTTGATTTGATCCAGTTTGGTGTTCATTTTTATCTGTTTGGTCTCTTCTTCTCTTTCGGCTTTCTTTCATAGAGAGGAAAAACATATGGAGATCGACAAAGCAATTAGAGAAAGCGACGATCGAAGGTTGAAAACCAAGTACAACAATGCAGTCTACGTCATACAGAGAGCTTTCGCATTATATGCGTAAGTTTTTATCCTCTCCCTTCGATGTTGTCGCGTGTTTTGTCTGTTTGATTCTCTGAATTTTCAGAGCTTGAGCATCTGGGTTGTTTCTTTCCCAGCACAAAGCCATCAATTTTTGGTCTGTTTTTGTTTTCGTTCCTTTGTAAGAGTTGGGTTTCGTTTGTTGAATCCATGAGTTTCTGTGACTGGGTTTTTTTTTTTTTTTTTTTTCTTCATTTGATTATTCTTTGGATTAATAGTTTATGAGTGGGCGCTTAACCTTGTCAACTTCGGTAACCAAGTTTTTCCCTTTAAATGTTTATTAAAGGTGGCATTCCTTTTTTTCTTTTTATTTCATAAACTACACTCTATTTTGTCAGAATTCAATAATGTGTTTTAACCCATGTTTTGATCTTGCTATATTTCCCATTTCAAATATTTAAATTTTAACCAGAAATGAGTTCAAACGCGCTTTATCTTTTCCTTTTTCTTTCTCCTTATGTGAGTAGTTTCAACAATTACATGATCGTAGGATAGAAAGGGTTGGAGACTGAATTCTTATTGCTTCAGAGGTTTAATGCAAAACTATTCTCTATAAGAAAAATTAAATCCACAGAAACCAGAAGTAAGATATTGTGGACAGAATTCTCAACCTAACTCTTGCACCTGATTATGATAGGGAGAAAAAAGCCAAATGCAGTATGCTGGGTAATCAATGAACAAAATGTTGACAAGATTTGTGTGGTCAACTCTGAATAGTTGAGATAAATCTTAATTGGTCGCAATATTGCTTGTCTGTGCTAAATATCCATATTGTTTTCCTTGTTTGTGCCAAGTCAAAGCCAAGGAAAGGTAAAGATATATAGTTATACATTCCTTGTATTAATCTTATCTATTTGCTTTCAAATCAAGACATTGTTACAGTTCTTCAAAGTGCATAAGAAGTTAAGAACTAATGGCAGAGATTCTATCTCTACATGGCTTTTGGCATGAAACCATGATGTTTTGATAGACGTAAAAATTATAGTGAACCAAAGTCAGTTGGCCTCATACTTTCTTCAACAGGTTTGAGGAGGTTGCTTTCAGCTTTAATGGAGGGAAAGACTCAACTGTAACTTCTTCTACATGTTTCCTAAATTTGTATTCGTTCAATAAAACACAATTCTTCCACGTGGATATTTATACAAATTCCAATTCTGCAGGTTTTGCTTCATCTGCTTAGAGCTGGTTACTTCTTGCATAAAGAGAAGCCCAAGTCTTGTAATGGGAACCAAACAGATTGTGAAATGAATTTCCCTGTACGAACCATCTATTTTGAAAGCCCTGATGCTTTTCCTGAAATTAATTCATTCACTTATGAAACGGCCACTGAGTGAGTGCTCTTTTTTGTTTACTATCATTTGTTTAATCTGAAAACTGTTCTTTGTTGATCAAAACTTAATTTTGGACCTTCCCCTTTGGAGCAGTTATGAATTGCAAATGGAAATAATTCGCCTTGATTTCAAGTCTGGTTTGGAGGCTCTGCTTAGGGAAAAACCAATCAGGGCTATTTTTCTTGGAACCAGAATTGGTGATCCTAATGCGGTAAACTAGTGCATTTTTTATGCTTTGTCCACAAGAGATCAATTCCCTTCTATCAGATGCAACATTGCTTTAATCTTCTAGATTATCTTCTGAAATTCTTCTCAAATCATAACTATCTTTAAAGCTTAGTGGAACACATTATCACAATTTATAGTTGTATTGCTTGATGTGCAGGTTGGCCAAGAACAATTCTCTCCTAGTTCTCCTGGATGGCCTCCTTTCATGAGAGTGAATCCCATTCTTGACTGGTCATACAGGTCCAATGAACTAAACTGTGTACACATACACATGCACAAACAAAGACTCACAACATACATGCATGCACTTATCATGGTGGTTGAAATGGTAGGTGGCAATGGTAGATGAGTTGTCAGAACCATTTATGCTCATAATTACCTACTTGGACATCTAGCTGGAGTGTAAGAAGCTAAGGAAAATTTCAAGGAAACAAATAAGAAATATTTTCCTATACATAATCAGTCAGTTTTATTACTGTATCTTCATTATTCTTGTTATCTTTTTAATCATTAATCTACATGAAAATTGCATTAAGAACATCATTCATTGTAGATATTCCTTGTCATCACCAATAGTTAAAATCTAGCATCCCTTCAAGGCTTATATTGCCCTGAGGCTCACATCAATGTGAGACTGAAGAAAGGTGCCTTTCACACCTTTTCAATCTCTAAGGTACAAGGCCCACATCTTGATGTGCGTCTTGCACTGTGACTTTTTTTCTCAATCTCAATTTTCAATTAATATATATTAAAAACTTGTTTAGTGTTCTATAAAACTCATTTTTGGTTTATTTTACTTTTAGACTCAAGGCTTCTATACTAGATTATTGGGTCTGTAGGAATGTAACTTGTAGTTTCTTCCATATCTTCTTGTTGTCATTTGTTGCACCTCAATTTTGAAGCGTATACAACCTTATGAGTTGTAGTAATTCTTTGTTAGTATATGCTCAGTGTTAATTCTCTGTTAGTATATGCTAAAATTTTGATTATCATTTGTTAGGGTTCTTTAAAACCCTTTGGATAGCCTGGGAAGTACTAGCTGCCAAAATCTCTTTAATCTCGTTGAGATGGTGCAAGGTTCAAAGTATCAATACAATACACCCCGTATTGGGCATATTGTATCGTATCTTTGGGTGTCCAGTACACCTGTTTACAGGTGTTTTCATTGATTAAATAATATAAAAACCTTTATAAAAATGAAATTTTGAAAAAAAAACTAAAAAAAGTAAAAATCATTGACAAAAAAGTATTGATACACCCCTGCCGATACACAAAGGTGTATCGATACTTTAAACCTTGAGATGATGAACTAATATCAAAACACTGCTACATACACCTTTGAAACTGTGAATAAACCCTAGTTCATTCTGGGTTAAAGCAGAGAAGAAGGAAGAAGAAAGAAAAGAGAAAGAAGGAGAAGAATGTTCGGCCAGACTAGAAGAGAGAAAAGTGAAAGTCACTCTCACCTAGCCGACCCWYTTGACTTTTATTCATAAAACTTAAGTTACAAGAAAGACAATGTTGTCCCTCATAGAAGATGGGACACATAACTTAAACTCARATAYAATAGACMTTTCACTTTHAATAAGATACACCAGAATGACCAAAATACCCCTGACTCGAGCATTCTAACAGAAACCAATCTCCAATGAGTAGTTTTGTACTTTTTCTCATTTTAATTTATGCATTCACCAGAAAAAATGAGCTCTGATCAGGCCTAAGCCTCTTATCATCTGAGATTTTTGCCCCATTCATATGGAAGTCCTATTGCCTTACTTCATGCCTTGGTCTTTTAAAACATTGATTAAAAGCATGGATTATATATGCTTAGTTGAAGTAAAACCACTATTTCTCCTTTAGGGGCACCAAGCATCTATCTCAATGGGTTATGAGCTATTTTACATATGCCAAGGGCATGGACGGACAATGTGTCAGATATGAAACTAGCTCAAAAAATTCATCTATTTACAAATATCTAGGTATTATAGGTTATCTCTCATAGATTTCCATTGAATAAATGGATGGGAGTTCCATAAGGTCCTAGAGGCTTGGCTATAGGATGAAAGAGAGTTGCAAGATCTAGCAGTTTGGTAACTAACAACTTAGCAATAGGGGGATATGATACAAAGTAAGCTTTATGGGGTCCTAACATGCCAACCTAAATCTTCTTTTTCTTTCCATCATTCTATTATACAAGGAGACCCTTGGAGGGTGTAGAGAACACTGATGTGGGCCCCACTGAAGTGGTCCCCACTGTGTTCGTAGGACAGCATGTGTAGTTATTTGTTCCAGTTATAGTAGTGTCAGTTTGAGCCAGTTTGTTAATTCAGTTGTTATTTATTTCAGCTTTTATTTACTTTATTTATTATGTAAGTACTAAGGGCAGATGTGTCCTTTCCATTATGTACTAAACATAACCTATAAATAATAAGAAA